GAGTAGATGTCATGGGGACTATAAAATCTAACTGTCCTGATGCACTCTGCTCATTCAAGTTAAGTTTAAATCTCCAATTTAACCAGAAAGTAGGTGGAATATGTCATAGAGTTATACTCTTCCTTAATTGTCTGCTCTGAGCCATGGTCAAGGACAGTATTCAGGGTACTGGCACAACTATTCTTGCAGTTAGGGCCTTGGATTTTTTTCCTCCAGAAATATGAGATGCTTATTTCAGTGAATAGTTCTGTATTTTTTAAAAGTTACACTGAAAATAAATTCTCAAACTATATTATCCAGGTTTTGCTGTGATTTTTGTAAGGAGGCAATGCACAGGTGGTCAAGGAACCCGTAGTGATCAGGGAAGTTGGATCTTTTATAGTGTATTCTACATTTTGTGCAGAAAACTTTGTACATTCAGTCTTGTGTAGGAATTGAATTACATAGTTATCATTACACTCTGAGTTTACAGAATGAATCCAACTGAGGTTTCACTTTCGTATTTGTACAAGCTGCGTGCTGTAGTGTTCTCTATTGTGATGGTTTGTGTTCTTTAAAATTACACCATAAGCAGCTTAATTTTGTGTTAAGACAAGCTAGATTTTTACACACATGTAATTTTCTGTCAGACAAGATAGATTTAATAGATTCTGACTCTTTTTCTCTCCCTGATAAGGATTTGTTTGTTTGTTTGTTTGTTTGTTTTAAATTTCATATTCTGGTGCAGATAGAGGACTTTGGTTCAATAAAATATTTTTCAAGTTTGATAGCAGATAAATAGGGAAGAAAAAACACCAGAAAACACTTATTACGCTAATTATTTTTTTCCTGTAGCTTCTTGATAGATGGAAATCTTGAAAATTTTTGGAATCAGTTCGTTAAAGCATCTTTGAGGCATTTGTTCCAGGTTTATAGTAGTATGCTGATTATTTCTGAAAAAATGTGGCTGGCACACAGAGAATTGTCCTGTTGCGTTCTTCAGTACTAAAACAAAAGCCAAGTGCATCTTGGCCCATTCCTAATTTTTCTTTCATTTTTCTATTCTCTATTCCTGGAAGAAATAGAGATAAGACTGGGAGGCTGATGGGAATGGGCTGAGGTGAGTGGGAGAGAGATTAACAGTGCTGAAGGCTGATAACTACTTTATATTCTTAAAATCCCTGCTTGGGCTTTGAAATTTAGTGTATGTAGTAAAGAAAAAAATGCTAATGTCATTAACATTTTTGTGTATGGATAATTCTGTTTTAAGTTGTCCTTTCCCAAGAGTAGTTTAAATATTGGTGTTATCTGTTCCAAAAGAAGAGAAAGCAAAGATTGCTTTTATATTGGGATTTGGGAATTAACTTTAACATGAATCCCTGAAGAGGAGAATCATTTGTTCTGTTTGCCTCTACCTTAATTGTGTTGAAATGTTTCAGGTGATAGTTGTATGAAATACCATCCATCATTCAGAAATTTGTGGGAAGTGATTTTAGAGTATGAATAGTAAGACTCATTTGAGTTACTAGTTCACAATTTTGAATTGTACAAAAAATAGTCCATACATTTTGGGATGAACATTAGTTCTCTTGTAGCTAACTGGATTATGTTGAAACACATATATATAATTCATGCTGCATCTGTACAGTATAAGAACATTTTGGTGGAATTATACCACTTAGATCTACATCTCTTAGATACCTGGATCCTGAGCTCCTGGAAAAGATTTTCTGCTTACATTGAAGTGTATAGTGATACAGATTGTTAAAGCCCTGGGAAACCCGTGTTTTATCTTTATTACAAATCTTGTTGGCATGCAAATGCATATGATGCCGTGTGCATCCTTTGTCTTCTAGAATTCCAGCAGGCAATGAACACATATGAAATTTTGCTGGTTTAATCCACATTTTATATCTGTTTGCATACAAAATTTAAATGATTGAAGCCTGCAGATTCAGAAGTTGTAAGTTTATATTTCATATTTTTTTCTTGAAAATAACTCCTTTTCCTGGAAGAAGATCAGAGAGGATGTGCATTGGTCATAAATAGCCACAAGTTCCCAAGCACCAGAGATCTTAGTATTTCATAGCTCTTCCCAGCTCGATTTCAGCCTAATTTGGCACACAAATTGTAGTTGACCTCAGATGGAATAATTCAGATATTTGAACCTCTCAGATGTGTAGCCAAAAGCGAATTGTCTTGTAGCATGTATTTTTAAACATCTGCAGGCTGAGCTGAGAAGTAGAATGCAAATTTTAGGACCTGAAGATACCTGTGAGGTTCTGAAAATCCCTTTGGGACTGAAGGGAATCCTGGAGCCTATGAACACGTGTTTTTTCTAGGCATGCTCTATTTAGATGTTTAGTATTTGCTTTAATTTCTGGTAACTGAAGTACAAATGACAATAGAAGGAGGTCATCAGTAATGAAATAGTAGAAGTAAAATCAGAGACAATAACTTTTGTTGAACCTTTTAATGCATATTCCATGAGACTGGAGGAATTGTTTCCACAGTTTGTATTTATGGTTTATTGGGGTAGAAGAATAATTTGTTGTTCGTGCATGACAAAAAACTTTTATGTTGTAGCCAGTTAACACTAGCTGAATTGTTTCAATAACTTTCTTTTACTCACATAGGTACCAGTACATAGGCAAATGATATTTTCAATAGACTGCAGAGGAATTCCCATGCCTCTTAGTCAGAAGTAAGAAAGAGCTAACTTCTCAGCTCATGATAAGTGGGATTTAGGTGGGGAGTTTTGATCACTTTGAAACCCTTGGCTAATATAAAGATGTGGCAGTTATTTCTCTTAATCAAGTGTTGCATGTATCTGTATAAATGTCCTATTTTCATTATAGAGTACTTTTCACTTGATATATTCCATTTTCTGACCATGTTTTTTTAAAAGTAGTGTGTGGAAGCCTGTGTTTCAACAGGATGTCCTACATTCACAAGTTGACCTTTGAAGGAGAATTAAATCCAAGCACTGATTTTTGATATATTTTTTTCAGTCTGCAACCATGGGTTTGATTTCAAGGTGGGATTGTTTGGTCTTTCACCATTATAAAGACTATAATGTGGTATCTGGTGAGATTTTTTTCTGTGGAGGTTGTTATCATAAGCGCCTGTAATCCAGGATTCTCTTGACTACAAAAGACATTGTGGCTCTTTTTGTAATGATAAGGTTTTTTTGGCCAAACTCCTGTTTAGTCATAGGTCCCACTTCTACTAGCCATCCTGAACAAAGCTGTATGTCGGTGGTTGGTGGAAAATCTTGTCTGTGAGCTGATTCATAAGATACTCTCAAACCTTTGAAAAGCTGTAATCTGGTTTCAGAAACATTGCAAGCATTGGTTAAACTAGAAAAGATCTCATGTGATAAGGAAGTGGGTGTGTGGTATCGTGTTTTAGATGACTTTGCATCATGTGTTATGACTAAACAACACAAATTCAGTAGGTTCAAAACTTACCTTGGGCTTTGTTAGTTCATCTGTACAGTTCTTGGTTGTAAAAGCTGTTGTGTTATGAAACTAAAGGCAATAAGCTACGTGGGCTTCAACTCACAAGCTACAGCTTTGTGAGTTCATTTGGCATCCCCATAGAGGATCGCCGGTACGCACTCACAGATGAGACCAAACATGCTGTCATCTCTCCATAGAGATCCCTTTTCATCTGAAAATCTTTTTATGAAAGTGTTAGACACAGGTGTTGATCCAGGATAATAAGTTTTTTTGGCTTTGAGTTTTAGCAGTAAAGTGGTGTGGATTTCTTGAAGAAGCAGTAGATAGAAATTGCCACGTGTGCTTCCTATGATATTGGGGTTGTGTTTGCCTCCTCATCTTCAGTAGTGAGGTGTGCAGGAACTGCTTTTCCGAATAGTCCCTTCCCTGATCTTACTTTGCTAGATAATATCTAATATCTTGAAAGTGATAACTGAGTGTAGCATCTTTTCCAGACAGTGATGGTGAGGAGCTGTGGTTATGATCTTTTTCCCATCTGTGTCATGGAAATTAGCAGTAGTTTTCTTCCATGGGCCTCAGCAACATGCTTGCCTTGAGCTTAGGAATCTTGAGAGGGAGAAAAAGGAAAGGAATAACTGAGCTCCATTCCATAAAGCAAAATATCCAGGAACAAGATTCAGATGGGAATTCAAGTGTATTTCTGAGCACTACAATAGCCATATTTAGGAGGACTGTTTTGGTACATTGGCATTAATGAGTAGACAGTGGCCTTAGCTGGTGTAATTTCAACTGAGGGTGATCAACTATTGTAGTTTTCTGTCTAAATACATACTGACTATACACAGAGTTATGTACAAATACCTGATCCAGAAGAAATGTGTTAGAACTGCGCTCTTATAACTCAAGTACCTTTTAATGCATATAGGAATCTTCTCAAATCTGGGTTTGAAACATTGCTAATGACTCACAGGCATGCACATTGTCTGGGGAAATGAAGCTCCTCTGAGACTGGCAAGTTTGGGATATTTAGCTGAGAAACAGCTGACTGAGCAGTGTTCCAGGAGAGTGTCATCAAGGATGGAGATCTGCTACAACTCGTTTGAAAGAAACTAGTGTGATGTGGTTTTCTGGGGTTTTCTTCCCTTGTAATTTTGATACTTTTGGTTAACTCTGGGTTTTTGTGATGTCTGATTACGAGGTAAGATGAAGTGCAGAGCCTGTTAAAGACCTAGTTTAGCTCTAAAGTGAAGAGAAACTTAATTTATAATGAGCTCAAAAGAGAACTATGTTTTTGGGGAAAAAATAAAATTTGAGATCTATCGAATCCAGCTTTTATGTGAGTCTAAGTGTATTTGGCAGGATGGCTGTTCTTTTATGTTTATTTGTCACGTCTTGAGACTGGGCTTGTCACAAAGGAACTCCAACTGTATCATTTCAAACAAGGATGTCATCTGTATTGTGGAAAACAACCTTTATGCTTCCTGTTTCTCAGGACTTGCTGACAGAGCAGCAAAGTTACCAGAAACCATCTTTGTCTCACCTTGCACTTTCCCTCCACAGGTGTCAGGGTCTTGCTGAGCCGCTGTTGACCCCCTGGGCAGCAAGGTCGTGCCGAGCAGGACTGCAGTGAACCTCTCCCCATGTCTCAGTGGAGCCCAGTGCTGAGTGTGGAAAACCCTCCGGGGGGGGCATAACACAGGTACGTGAAAAATGTTGGGAATGTGGCTCCATATTGATTTTATATTAATGTTTGACATGTCGAGTGGGGATAATATTCCAGTGGCGATTATTCTCAAGACATGCACCATTATACAAAATAAATGTCAGTGCTTGCCCTCTGTAATGCATGCAGCCTTCTGATTCCCGCAGTTAATTTGAAGACTTTAGAATTTTAGGTTTTCTGCTTCTCTCTCTTGGCAGAGCACAATTAATTAGTGTGTCCTGAAATAATTATTAAGAAAATAACATCAGAGTTTTGGGGGTTTTTCTACTCCTTTTGCTCTTCTTTGGAGTCTTAGAGAAAGAGTGAATCTTCAGGCTCACCAACAAAAATAAAGGTCTGATCCATCCTGCTTTCTCTGGCTCTCTCCTGCATCTTCCTGTATCTCCCAGGATCAGCCTTTCTGATGACTTATTACTAAATGTCCCATTTCGGATAGTCAGTACTGCAGAGCACAAAGAGAGAATGCTGATGTTAAGCATAAATATATTCTGATAAATCACAAATCAGTGATTGGTAAAAATAAAATTTTAGTAAAAAATTAGTGAAGTTCTGATAAAACATAAGCCAGGCCTCACAAACAATTCTGATATTTTTCTTGACTATGCTATTTTATAGCTTCTAAGCTATTACAATTATGCTCAGGTGCAAACTGAAGCTTTTAAAATTTTATTGTCATTGAAAAGTGCATACTTTAGAGCTAGAGACTGAAATCCACTAGTCTTTTTGTGAAACAAATGTGCACAAAAAACGGGAAAAAAAAAGATTTCCGCACTATACAGTGAGAGAACAAAGGCTGATGTTGTGGGAACACCCTGAGCTTTGCACAGAAAGGTGGTTCATTTTTTTCAGTCCTCTGCTGAGAATGACAACTGTAAACATCACAGTGGAGAAAACTATCCACTGATACACAGAGAGAAACATTTAATTAACTTATTTTATTGCCTGAGAAATAATTTGAATAATGTGAAATAATTTGATTGTTGCTATTCTGAACTGAAGAGGGGAATGCCGAAGTCCAGGGTGTGAGTCTTCCATGGTAACTGAAAGCAGCCAGATTGGTGGAACCTATGGAACTCTTGCATGGGGCTCGTACCTTCTAGGATGAAGACTTGATTCCCACTGTAAATTTTCTGGAGCTGCCTTTTCCTTTCAGTGGACTTTAATTTCTTATAGATGGAGAAAAATTAAAATGTGTCAATTATCATTTTGGTAGGTTTTAGGAAAGGAAACACAGTATTTTCATTAAACCATGAAATGTTTTCCTTTGGTTGGAAAAAGGATTGTGTACTTCTCACTTTGACTTTCCTCTTAAGAAAACAAACAAACAAAAAAGACGGTTTAATGTTTGCCTGTTTTAACATTAAAGGCATTACTTAGTCCAGTCACTATAAAGTAGTGAGAAACAGTAGACACCATTTTAGCCGCTTAAAAAAAATTAATTCTTTTTAGAAAACACAGAAACACTGACTCGTTCCCTTAAGCTTAAAAAGGAGTTACCTCGGGGACTTTTTCCCAAGTTTTGGCCAGGTAATACATTCAAGGCTTAAAAAATCAAGAAGCTTAAGCTTCAAACATCTCTTCTCCTTATATTCTTTTGAGTTACTGTACAGTAATTTATGTAAGTGGCTTCTGTTGCTCCCTTAATGATTACCTAATGTTCTTGCTGTGTTTTCTTGCATAGGATCACAGGATGACTACACAGCTACTTCAGGGATATCAGTAATGGAGTAGATAATGCCAGATTTCTATACTGAAATAGCTCCACAGAATGTGAAAAAGGGGAAAAAATATTATGCTTTTCATGCTTGAACAAACATAACACTGATGAGAAACTAGTTGTTAAGATTAAGGAAGTGGAGAAGTATTGCTTGAAACCGTGATAGCTTTTCACGTCTTAGTTTTAAAATGGTACCACAATACACTTAACAAAAAAGATTAATAAAAATATGACTTTTGACTGGATACCATTTTCAGTGCTACTTGATTTACAAATGTTTTCATTTCTTCCTTAGTAAGCTGCCAATTCTAGAAAAAAATAAATTATTATTATTCAGAGTAAGTTTCTGTGCATGCTTTTAACTGGATATTATGCCAAAAGTATTATTTCTTTGCTTACTGGCAGTATACTTAAGCATAAATTGCATACCAAGTTAATTAAACAATATTTTCATATTACTTATCCTTTTGAGTACATAAGATTTGTTCAACAAGATAGAAAATGTCTTTCAACTTTCATTTAGACAGAAAAACATACAAATTTTGTTTTGTGCCACTCTTTTATTAAAATGGTTTCTAAGAAAAAAAGAGAAGAGGACTATTTAATGTTTGGTTTGGTTTGGGTTTTTTTTCAGCAAGGAAAATAATACTGAGAACAGCAGAAATTGTTTATCTGGAGTATAAAATGCTTCTCTGCTCTTAGGAGATGTAAATACCTTTTGTTTCATCATATCAACAAATGTCTTTTCTCATGTTGTGAAGTATAGTTCACTTATAGCTTCCGGTGCAGAAAATGATTTTGAGATGCTATTTAAGCAGTAAGCCTGTAATAGTTTATTATATTGTGAATTTCCATTGCTCATTCCTCTTGTTCAGGTAATGACTTTGGGGGCAGAGAGTGAAATGAAATTCCCCATTGAGTAGATAAACACTCATTTATTACCACTTCTCTGGGTGCCAAATTATAGTTGATAGTGAAAACCTCCATTCGTTTTTAGCCTTTGACTCCAGATGAGAGAGGTAATCACGTGACTCATATTGCTTCTGAAGGAAAAGCTCCTCTTCTAAAAAAGTGGTTGAAAGACTGTTGCTGCATTATTAATAAAAAAACAGAGGCAACAGAGAATCCCTGATGTCTCAGGATGATGAGGTGAGACTTTGAATTGTCCCGTAGGAGATGGTTTTATTTTATTTATTTTCTTCCAACAAGTTTTGCATTTCCTTTGTTGCCACAGGCAGCTTTAAGGCTTTCATATATAGAGTACAAAATGCAAATAGCAACTCTACAGTTTATAAGTGGTTGGAAATATTTAGTGCCACAGAATGGCAAACCTTCTTGGAATGTGTTATCTCATACATACATTTTTATTTCGTAGTACATCTGCTAAGGCTTCATGGGTAACTTTGACTAGTAAGATTGCTTGTGCTCTTCTAATGTCACAGTGATGGCAATATGGTATGGTAAAATACTTGGGAGAAGTATCAAGATAGAGTAGTATTGCTTAAGTGAGAACAAAAATCACTGATGATGTTCAACGTAGGTGAAGAGTACGAAGTCATAGGCTCAGTGTTTCATTTGTTGACAGATGACATAATTCAAAAATGTAGCTCAAAATTAACGCTAAGGACTCGCCTGTGGTTAATGTGTAATAACCTTTATTTTAATGATTTAGATTCAGTGCTTCAGCAGCCCTGCCTAAGGAACACTGGCTAGCAAGTTTACCTGGTAATGTTTAACAAGAGCCAGGGGAGCAATGACATCTAACCTCTGTGAGATATGAGGAGAAAGAGAATCCCTCCAATCCAGAACACCCCTGTTGCTTATAGCTCGCTGTCACAGTCACCTCTTTGAAAAGGAACTATTTATCTTCATAATATATTGCATTCAGTTCTTGCTTAATGGATTTACCTTTGTTGGGGTGTATGAACACATGGTGTTTGTTTTTGTGCCCCCTGATTTTGTACAGCAACTCAGAATGGGTGTATGTGGAATATCTATCAACCTACTAAGTACTTAGTTAATGAAATAATACCTTTTAGGAATAATATGCTCTGGATAGCTGATGTAATGGTGCAAGATTAAGTCATAACACAGAGTGCGAAATTTAAATTAATGATATTTGGGGCTTTGGGCTTTTTTTGGTTCAAATGATTTTAAATTAGGCAGATGTTTGTCTTTATTGCCCATTCAACAGTTTTATTAGAAAAAAAGTGGTGAGGGACATTTTTAATTGAAGAACAGCAGCACTCAGCAAGTGTTAAGTGCAATAAGCAAGAACCAGTTAAGTGCAATAAGCAAGAACCAGTTGTGTAGGTTGGCAGTGGAGAGAATAGCTCTGTGGAAGTTAACAGTGTGTTTATAGTTCCTTATTATACCTTAAGTGATCCATGATTTTCATGCAAGCCTGAAGTAAGATCAGCCAGGAGGACCATGATCCTAGAAAACTTTACCCAAACCCATAATTTAAAAGAATCAGCCTGTTGAAAAAAAGATTAAGGATTGAGATTAAAATACATGAGAGGCTGATGTGAAGACGAAAGTAATAAACTGTCCTCTTTGTCTGTGGGGAACAGGACAAGAATAATAATGCTTTTAAATGCTAGTGAGGGAGATTTAAATTAGACATTAGGGAAACCATTTTAAATGTAAGGTTAGTGAAGGACAGCAGCTGACTGATTAGAGATGCTGCAGCATCACTGTTGGGGATTCTGGGAATGAGTTAGGCAAAATTCTGTCAGAGGCAGGTTAATGATCGTTGTTGGGAGAAGAGAGGTGGCGAAGACAGGTTGTGGTATGCCCTCCCACCCTGCCTAGGCCAGCTCCATTTTAATACTGTGCTTGGGATGCAGTAAGGTTAAAAACTTTGAACTGTAGGGGCTTCTTTTCCCTAATCTGTTTTAAAATTGTATGTCTTGTTTTACTGTTGTTAGGGTATAAGATAAAAATATACTTTTGACCAGCAAGTTTCCACAGCTTTCTTTTCCTAAGGAGGGCATTAAAAGAAAATGTAGCATGTCTATTTAATACTATATAAACTCTGGTTTTGTGTTATTTGGCAGTATTCTTTCTTCATATGTTGTGAATGAGATATTTTTCTAATAATTTGAAACAAAACTTGAATATTGTCATTGAATAAAATCGTATGCCAAAAATTTATGGCTTAACTTCCATTTTTATTTAAGGAAGATTTTTGGAAATTAATTAAATGAGGGTTTGAAAAATGCACTTCTGGGTTTTTTGGATATAGGAGCATAAATAA